TGCTTTATTGACATTAATCTCTGTATTTCTCTATCATCATGGATCATGTGGCGCATCAGATTCGTATGTATGCTAACTTTAAGGATGCATACAGCATCCTTAACAACAAAGAACGGCTTTCAGAGATCAGCTACAGACCTGTGGCACTGATCTCCCACATGATTGAAGACCCTGGAGAGACTGGTTCTGGATCAGTTGCGGCCCGTGGTCAGCCCTCTCCTGGACCTCCTCCAGCACGCCTACCTGCCCTCAGCCTGCATGCTGGGGCAGCAGGCTGAGGGCAGTGCACGCCAACAGACTCAACAAACTGATCCGTAAGGCCAGTGACGTTGTGGGGGTGGAGCTGGACTCTGTCTGTGGTGTCAGAGAAGAGGATCCTGTCCAAACTACGTCATTGTGGACAATGTCTCCCACCCACTCCATGACGTGCTGCTCAAACACAGGAGCACTTTCAGTGCAAGACTCATTCCCCCAAAATGCAGCACAGAGCACCACAGGAAGTCATTCCTGCCTGTGGCCATCAAACTTTGTAACTCCTCCCTCTAAGTGACTGACACACGGATACTTAGTTTTTAACTGGACCGTATTATCTACTTTTTGCAATATTATCTGTTTAATAATTAATGTGCAATATTCTCTGCTGCTATTTATTCACTTGTCCTTTTTGGTTCACCATAATAACTCTTAATAATGTAAATATTGTACATTCTCACAATCCTTTCTATTTGCATTTATATTTTATACTTATACTCTTATATTTATATACTCTTTATCTATCTACCTTTGACAAGCCTTTGAAATTTCCCCTCAGGGATCAATAAAGTATTTCTGATTCTGATCTCCTGGCCCTGTACGCTCCATCGCCCCTCTCCCTCTTCCTCTGCGATACGGGTTGTGTCGCTAAGCGCTATGAACGGTTCGTGATCGTTCCCTCTGGCTGGATGAATATTACGCATAATAAATGCACTACTGTAGCTGGGGGCTCTCTGAATCGCAATTTTCTAAATTCTTCCCTCTCACGGAGAAAAGAAAGGTCAGGTCGCAAACACAACCGCAGCCGCTGTGTCAAGCTTAATTGTAGCAAAATGGCCACATATGATGATGATGTTAATAATAATAATAATAATAATAATAATAGCTTAATCATTATTATCATAATAAGACATACATGTCTGACATGTTACTTTAAAAAAAAGTAACTAGTAATGTGTAATCCATTATGTGATCTGATCTGTGTAACTACCCCAACACTGATTGTGACGTCTCGTGAGCTAAGTGTCTCTTCCCACCACTTTTCAACACAAAGTGACGCCCTTGCAAGGAGCAGCTGTGAGTAAGGGCTCTAAAGTTCGTGATGAACCTCAGAGCTCTATGGTAAACAGCTTCCAACACTTTCTGGCTTTGAATGGATGCATGCAACATCGCCATAATCCAGCACTGACAAAAGAGTGGCAGCACAAAGTGTCCTTTTGACCTCAAAGGAAAAACTGAGCTTAGCTCTGTCGCTGGACATTAAGCCTCCACAGTTTATTAAACGCTGTGTCAGCATGATGTCGTCCTGACTGTTGTGCAGCAGTTTATACTCTAACAGAGGAGCTGTAGTAAAACTGGAAGGGATACCCACTGCGACTCCTGACAGTTCACCGTGGTAGTGAATTGTCAACCACCCTATCATCTATTTTCCTAAATGGGACTATAATTGACCCTTCGCTAAGCCACCCCCCGAATACACAGCTGATGAATCACAGCGCAGTATGGGACTCGCTCTAACTGGAGGCTGCGCTCCAGTGACTCTAATGCAAAAAGAGTCGTTTTCTACCTTTTTCTGCTGTATTTTTCTTAGATCTGGTCAAACGCTGTTCCTGCTGCATATTGTAATAGTTACAGCAGCTACCCAGAGAGGCTGAAAGGAGAAGTACGATTTATTCTCTTTTCAAAACCTAAAACAAATCCAGAAAAATGTCGGCTGTGGATTGTTCTTAATGTAATGTTAGTTGGCTAACGCTAGCTAACTCCCTAATGAATGTAATGTAATAAAGCCCTGCTCTTCTGCTTTTTAATGATTGTAATAAAGAACAGAGGCCGACCCAGCTGTACAGGAACACTGTTGATCCTTAACATCGTTGTCTTTTGTCTCAATCGTCAGGGATGCGGTGGTTCACCTGTACTGTGTGATCGGTAGACTTTAGCTTCTGTCTTTCATTTTTTTTCACGTCCGTTTGTCATGTTCGTCTGAGTCCGTTTGAGTCCGTTTGAGTCCGTCTGAGTCAGTTTGAGTCAGTTTGAGTCCGTCTGAGTCCGTGTGAGTCAGTTTGAGTCAGTTTGAGTCAGTTTGAGTCTGTCTGAGTCTGTCTGAGTCCGTCTGAGTCCGTCTGAGTCAGTTTGAGTCAGTTTGAGTCAGTTTGAGTCCGTCTGAGTCCGTCTGAGTCCGTCTGAGTCAGTTTGAGTCCGTCTGAGTCCGTCTGAGTCAGTTTGAGTCTGTGTGAGTCAGTTTGAGTCAGTTTGAGTTCGTCTGAGTCAGTATGAGTCAGTTTGAGTCAGTCTGAGTCAGTATGAGTCAGTATGAGTCAGTTTGAGTACGTCTGAGTCAGTCTGAGTCAGCAGTTTGAGTCAGTCTGAGTCAGCAGTTTGAGTCAGTCTGAGCCAGTTTGAGTCAGTGTGAGTCAGTGTGAGTCCGTTCGAGTCAGTCTGAGTCAGTTTGAGTCCGTGTGAGTCCGTCTGAGTCAGTTTGAGTCTGTGTGAGTCAGTTTGAGTCAGTTTGAGTTCGTCTGAGTCAGTATGAGTCAGTTTGAGTATGTCTGAGTCAGTCTGAGTCAGCAGTTTGAGTCAGTGTGAGTCCGTTTGAGTCAGTGTGAGTCCGTTCGAGTCAGTCTGAGTCCGTTCGAGTCAGTCTGAGTCAGTTTGAGTCCGTCTGAGTCAGTTTGAGTCCGTCTGAGTCAGTTTGAGTTCGTCTGAGTCAGTTTGAGTCCGTCTGAGTCAGTGTGAGTCCGTTCGAGTCAGTCTGAGTCCGTTCGAGTCAGTCTGAGTCAGTTTGAGTCCGTCTGAGTCAGTTTGAGTTCGTCTGAGTCAGTTTGAGTCCGTCTGAGTCAGTTTGAGTCCGTCTGAGTCAGCAGTCTGAGTCAGCAGTTTGAGTCAGTTTGAGTCAGTCTGAGTCAGTCTGAGTCCGTCTGAGTCTGTCTGAGTCAGCAGTTTGAGACGGTCTGAGTCGGTTTGAGTTGGTCTGACAGCCTGAATACAACCTTCAAATGCACAATGTAACTGCAAAACTGTCTGCTTCTCTCTGGGATCTTTTTTTCCCCAAAATTTACAACATTATATATATATATATATATATATATATACAGTATATATTTATATAAACAGTTTGTCGGACTTAGCAACAGTAACTACGGGGCGAAGGGTCAATTGACTAAATGAACATCATTCTTAGGTTTTTATTTTGGTAACAATTCAACAACCTGGGGAGAAACTACCTTTTTGTCTCTGCTTAACTACGGGGATCTGTTGTACATGCATGCAGCATCATCGCTGCAAAGAAAACTAGATTCTGCCGTCCATGCAGTGTTATATTTTATTACCACGCCAGATCATGCACCCATCACTGTAGGTTATCCGCAATGATGGAATGGTCTTCATTAGAGAAACCAAATTATCTATCAGGCATCTTGGGCAAATTACAAAAGCCAGCAGGCTACTGCTCCTAAAAGTTCCCAGGGTTGGTTCAAGGTTGGAAAAGGCTTCCTTTTCTTACCATGCACCATCTACATGGAGCCCCTTGCTGGGGACTCTCTGGTTGGAGGTTCTGGCGCCTTTTGCAGAGTTTAAATCCTTTGTTACTGATGCTTTTAAGGACAAACGTAGATTTTTTAAATAGGCTGGTTTCCCATTAGTGTATATATAGGTGTCTGAAGGTATACAGTTGCAAGAAAAAGTATGTGAACCCTTTTGGAATTATCTGGATTTCTACATAAATTGGTCATTAAATGTGATCTGATCTGACAAATACAGTCTGCTTAAACTAATACCACACAAACAACTATAAGTTTTCATGATTTTGCTGAACCCACCGTGGAAACATTCACAGTGCAAGATGGGAAAAGTATGTGAACTTCAAGGCTAATGACTTCTCCAAAAGCTAATTAGAGTCAGGAGTCAGCCAACCAGAAATCCGGGTAATTTCAGGGTTCACATACTTTTTCTCGCAACTGTATTAATGTGCTGTATTTTAATGTACTGTATTGTTACTGTTATATACAGGTCTATGTAATGTGCCAGATGTCTTTATGTATTGTTGTCATTTGTATGTTTGTAATTTTAATTGCTGTTCTACTGACTTTCTTTGCCAGGGCGCCCTTTAAGATTTTATCTTAATGGGTCTTTTTCTCCTGGTTGAATAAAGGATAAATGAGAACTATTCAAATAAATGCTGTGTTGAAGAAGATTTGAAACTAGCGACTGAGACCATAAACTCATCAGAAAAGTGTTTACTGAGGTAATAAATCAGCTGAGAAGTAGAAACATTTTCTCATAGACTTCTATACAATCCCACTTCTTTCTGCAGCCAGTGGAGTCGAACTCAACTGCTAAAGAAAATACACCCCTCCCTTCAGTGCTCCCTCAGAAGCATTGAAATACCTTCGCCCTCAACTGGTCTTAAAACCGTCTTCCATGTTTATTCTCGTCAGACCGTTTCCTCTTAGGCTGTTTCACAGTGCCTGGAGCCCAGCATGTTTGAATGTGCTGGTGTATAGAACTCTCTCTACCATCACTCCTGGGCATGAGCTCTAACGCCACCTGTTGCTGATTGGCTGGAACAACATGATGTGGCAAGGTCCACTCACACGGTGTTCTTCTAGATGATTAAACCTCTGAGGGAGACGCCACTCAAACACAGATGTCCATGCAGTCCGGAGAAGACCTTTAATCAGTTATATAATTAATAACACCTGTGTGGAATTACCATGTTGTGCACGTTAACGTTTCGCTTACGTTGTCTACAGGGTCTGAAGCCCATGGACTTCAACGGTTTAGCCGACCCGTACGTCAAACTGCACCTGCTGCCTGGAGCCTGTAAGGTGAGACACTGAAACACAGGGCAAAAAAACAAACTAGTATTTTCATTATTAGAAAATAATGTCATAATAAATGTCAATTAGTGTTTCCCAAAGCCCAACATGACATCCTTGAATGTCTCATTCTGGCCACAACCCAAAGATATTCAGTTTACTGTCAAAGAGGAGGAAAGAAACCAGAAAATATTCACATTTAAGAATCTTTCTTACTCAAACCGATTAATCGATGATCAAAATAGTTGCAGATTAAATTTATTGTTGTTATTCGTTGCAGCTCTATGTTGCACCATCACAGGTTTAAGGATAATCTTCATGAACTTCTCATGCTTATCGTTGGTCATATATTTAAATGCCAGTCAAAGGTTACTAATCATCAGATTGTTTTATATTTATATATTTTGAGGTGCTGTTAGAAGAAGCACGTCCAGGTGTTTGCACTGGACTGACAGTAGATTCAGCTGATTGCAGGGCAGATTCAAAGAGCATTTATTAAAAGCCATGAAATTAAATCCTTCTCGCTCTCAGCTGACGTGTGGAGCATAACAACGCATGAAATAAAATAACTGCTGCATTGATTGAACAGCAGAACGCCGGCGCTGTTCTGGTTGCAAAGACTAAAAGTGAAATGTGTTTTTAGAGAAGTAATTTGCTGTCTGTGAAGATCAAACTAAGACGGTTTCATAAAGTGACAGTTTAGATATAATGTTTGATTAAGGTTTAAATATGAGTGTGCAGCTTCGGTGCAGCCTGGCTGGACTTAATCTTACTGTCAGCTGAACTGTAAACCTTGATTACATATATTTTTATCTTTAAACTGAGTTTGGATTAGATTTAATCAGATTTAAATGTTTTCTAACAAAACACATTGGCTGCGTTTTCTGAACCACAGTGTGAAACAACCAGCAAATATCAATATCTCTCAATCTGTGTGTGTGTCCTTCAGGCCAATAAACTGAAAACGAAGACGATCCGTAACTCTCTGAATCCAGTGTGGAATGAAAGGCTCACTTACGTCGGGATCACAGAAGAAGACATGCACAGGAAGACGCTCAGGTGTGTGTGTGTGTGTGTGTGTGTGTGTGTGTGTGTGTGTGAGGGACACTGGGAGTAATTCATGCCCGTTTTCATTGGATCTCATTTCGGACTGATTAAATGCACAGCCATTAATCAAGCGCAGGGACATCTTGACATTCAGATTTGAAGCTCAGATGTCATCTTTGATTAATTTAACTGTCAAAGGACAGAGCTCACGCAGAATTCATGAGGTGAAGACATCTTTTTACTGCTTCCTCCCGCGGTTCTTCCCTGTAAGCACCCACAACAAACAGCCACCGGCTCCGACTAAAGCATAATCAGTAATGTCATGTGGAGAAATGTGCTGTTTTTTTCAAAGACATCTGGTTTTTGCACTGAAGGATTTTCCTAATAAGAGCTCACGAGTCTTTGTCGAAGAGTTTTCCACCTTTCAGTGTATAAATGAATGAATAAATGGTTCCACCACTGTAGGCTCAGACGGGGGCGACCGGAGGATCACGTCCATAATCAAAGGAAGTGTGAAATAACAGAGCGGAGGGCTTTTAATTATCGAGCTTATGAGCAAACGTTTAATCTCAACTAAACATGTAGCGAAGCCGGTGTGTAATTAAAAAAACCTCTAAGGTAAAAAGAAATAAAAGAACGAGTGTGTTCGTCGGCCGACAACCGTCGAGGATATAATGGAGGATATTAAATAGTTTGTCCTGAAGCAAAGTGACTCCCTCTCCAGTCCAGACTCAGCTCTCAGAGACGCTCTTTAAAGCTGCAGTGGGAAATTCTTTTAAAAATAAGCTGCAAAAAATTCTGCTTCCTCTGGCTCCTCCTACTGCTCTGGATACCATTTATAAGAATCCACCGCTCCCTCAACAAAACAACCAATCAGAGCCAGGAGGAGCCTCAAACGCAGTGCCAACCACTGCTTGTATAATAATAATATAATCTTTAGCAAACACAACGTCTGAGTCCGTCCTCTGTGAACAACAGCGTATAGTACAGAACGCGTCCCGTGTCGGGATGAGGTTTCACGGGGCTACCGGCTCCTTCTGCTGCCGGACAAACTTGTGGGTTTGGTGGGCGGGGCTTAGTGGAGCGATGCGAGCATCAGGGAGAGAAACTTCCTTCACCTGAAATCCAGTGGTGGAAGAAATATCCAAACCCATTACTTAAATGTAAATGTAGTCACACCACACTATAAAAATACTTCATTGTAGTGGCATCTAGTGGTGAGGGTTGCAAATTGCAACCAACAGCTCACTCACCGCTCACTCCTCCCTTTCCAAGCGAGCAGGAGAAGCTACGGTGGCCGATAATAAATAATAATTTGTGCTAAATAATACGTGTGGTCTTCCATTTGTCCAAATTTCTCTTCTTTTTTTCCTTCTAATAAACCAGTCAACTACTACTAGCACCACTACTTCTTGCTGCTTCATCTTGTACATATTCAATGTAGTGACGAAACATGCTCTGTACAGCAGTTTGTCAGTTTGGGCTACTGTAGAAATATGGCGGCGCCACATGGCGACGTCCATGTAAGAGGACCTGCGGTGTCTGTAGATAGAAATGTCTTATTCAAGGTAATAAAAACATAACGGTTTATTATGTAACATAGTAAGTTATGGATCTTATATTGCATTTCTGTCAGTCAATCCTTCTAAATATTACACTCTGGACCTTTAAGTAAAAGTACTATCAAAATCAAAATCAAAATTTACTTAATGTGTAGTAGTGTCACAAAGTAAGAAGTAAATGTTCATTGTGTATTTGGCTTATTTGATTAGTTATTTAAACCTAATGTTCTTAAAACAGTTGAAGAAATCTGTTGCATTAAGGATATTTTTGTAAATGTTTTGCAACTTGTTTAAAAAATGCTCGGAAAGAAAAAAAGGGTTTTATTAGAATTATGAAAAACGTAATCCCCCTTATCTCAATCTTTTACTCTTGATTAATACAAACCTACTGAACAAGCAGAAATATTACCTGTTAATCCCATATGGAGGAAAAATAATTTAAGATTGTTCAAATTGTCCCTACCATCCACACCAAACTCTATAAAGCGTTGTTATTGATGTAAGCCAGCACATGTGGGTCAATTTAAAAGACAATGTTCATTAAAAAGCAGCTTGGATTGGTTTACTCTGACTTCTTATTCCGTCTGTCTGACAGGGTGCCAGTTCATCCATACAGCATAGTGTCTCAGTCCTCACATACGAGCCTGTGAAGCTCACAGACAGCTCTGCCTTCCTGCTCTTCCATTGGTCAGAATCGCTCTGTCTTAGCTCGTTCTCCCGTCTCAGGCTCGTTAGATGGATGACTCACACACACACAACTCAACTTATTTATTTTATTTATATAGCGCAAGTTCATAACAAAAGAGAGGGCGAGTAGGGGGGCCAACACAATGTCAACACAGAAAATGCAAACAGTGAAAGTACAACTGTTAATAGCCAAACTGCCACCGTTTGACAACACATACCACGTGGTGAAACATCACGTCCTGGACTGGTGCAGGAAACGCTCATACAGTATGTGTCTTATACGTCGCTGTGACACACTGTGACAGTCGACCTGTTTTGTTGTTTAGGTGTGAGGACGTGTTGAAAAGTTACAACCAAACACTTCACATCTGCTTGAGCAAATACGTTGGTTTGTTGGGGTGTCATGCTGCCTGGATCACATTAAAACAATGAATCAGTCAGTCATCAAATCCTTCTACATGTTGCCTCCTGCTTCCATGCAGATCACCTGCTGTCTGAGTAAAGTGTCTAAATGATCACATCCAGTCACAGCTCGCATGTTGTAAATTCGTTAAAGCTGAAGCTTCCCTGCGACGTCTCTGCTGCATGACAACGACTCACAGAAAAACCCAGCAAACATACACCAGGCAGCTTTAATTAGTAGTAACGTACTGCAAGTGTAGGAGACGCCCTGCGATGTGCTTCACTGCTCCCTCAGACCTTCGTGCCAACACTCAGGCTGCAGCTTCCTCTGGGATTTCACTGTTTCATTCCTCTCTTAGCTTCAAAACAAAAGTGAGAAAAATAAAAAAAATGTGGTTTTCCCCAAGTGTCTGTCTGCATGTGTGAGAGAGAGTTCTTGTATTGCTATCTCTGTGAGGACCAGTTTCAGTTAAACTGAAATTAGAATTCTCCTCACTTATAAATAAACTGCAGATGTTTGGATAAAAGAAATAGAGGATAAAACAGTTTGCACTGTGGCGGCGGGAGACCGACTGGGAATCATCGCAAAGCAAATACGGAGACATGCACAGTGTATAAGTGTTATTTATTTACACGGTACAAAATACTTTCATTTCTGCTTCGCATGACTGTTAAGAGCCAATCAGGAAGCCAAACGTGAGCGTCATCGTTTTTAAAGTCCTCTGTTTTCGTCTGGCAGCACTAAAACGCTGCCGGAGTTTAAAGCCAAACCAGGTCAGCATCGTTTTCAAACTTCCTTGTTTTAGGTGTTTGTATTCGCCGTTTTAGTCCGGACGGGAGGCGGAAACGTAGCAAAAGGTCTGAGGTATTTAACGAAGACGTAGTCTTGGTGCGCTGATACAAGACTTTTTTCCTTTGATGTTAGCATCGGCCAACTTTCCATCCAAATGTAGCACAAATTTTATTCCATATTTATTATTTTATTAAACCTTTATTTAACCACGAATGGCTCATTGAGATTAAAAAATCTTGGCCAAGATAGGGAGCAGCAAGTTGGGTTAGAAAAACTTACAAAAAAATACAAAACAGGTATCATAAATAGAAAAACTAAAACAACGTAATTCGCAATAAATGACACCGAAAATTTACAAACGTGATGGAATCAGCCTCAGAGTTCTTCATCAATTACTAAAAATGCCAGGATGCTGTGAGAGCATGAGCTCATTGGCTGACGGAGGTAAAACGAGCGGTGGAGCTTTTTCACTTCTGTCGAGCGTGAAAACGTTCTTTTAGGTTTCTTTTTGCGCAATCCGACATTATATAAAGCGGTGTGGTTTTTTTTTTGGTGTTTAGTATTTTGAGTCCCCCCCCTCTTGTGTCTTGTATATAACTTCCTGTCTCTGTGTCTTGGTTTCCTGTTGCTGTTTTATTCCTGCTCTTGGTGTTTTCTTGCCAGTTCAACACGTTCTCACGCCCAGCGGCGGACAGGCCTATTTGTTTTGGGGAGGGTGGGTGAGATTTAATATAAATAATAATTTAAATATAAATATATATCTATTAAGGGTGGGAATCACCAGAGGCCCCACAACACGATATTACCACAATACTTATGTCACGCTACAATATTTTAGCGATTTTTAACATATTGGAATTTATTACTTTTTTCCAACTTTAAATTGTGTCCTCAAAGAAAAACTGTTTTTCTAGTGGAGTGAAAAAGCAATAGATTTTATTATTATAGTACCAAAAAGTGAAATTCCCATATACAATTTATATAATAGATCGATACTCGCCGTCTGTGTATCGATACAGTGTTGCCACAGAAAATATCGCGATACTATGATGTATTTTTTTTTTGATTTATGAATGCATTGTTTTTACAGGCCGACTGGGCAGGACAGGATGTTGACACTTGCACCATTTCACTAAATAATATTAAAGTAAATATTAAGTATTTGGCCCAGTCCGTTTAACGGCCGGCCCACTGACCCAATCAAACACCTGGTGAGAGAGAGAGCGCAACGCCAGCTGATTAAAGTGGACGTTGGGCCAGAAACTGGACTTTCAACCAGGACACCGGTGTTTGTTTCCCGTGTGAAGCAAAAAGTCAACATTGAATGTTTTGAAAAGTTTTTATTTAAGTTTCATAAGTTTTCCTTTTCCTACATTTTGGGCCGTTATATTGATTGTGTGGATTTATTTGCTCGTGCACGCTCCGCTCTAAGTGTTATCATTTGTCCAATAAACTCTGGAAGTTTGCATTTGCTCCTCCTGGTATTGGCACTCGGGTCCAAGCCTCAGTTCAGGATCGAAAGCTGTGGATTTCACCTCGGCAGGCGGGAAACCTTTGAACAAACGGCT